CGCAGCCTTTCTTCAAGATTGGACACTCTGCTCTGAAGTTCATCGTAGTCATAGGCGCCAATTTCCTCTTGCAGCTCGTTAAGCACTGACGTCAGATTCTGGGCCTCCTCTTTAAACTGCAATACCAATTTGGCATCGGCCTTGTACTCTTCCAACACAGGGATCAAAGGCCTAAGTTCATCCATTTTCGCTTTTATTGCCTGCAAGGTTAAAATAAGCTGGGTTCAGTGCGATGCGTGCAGAAACTTGTACCTCCCTGCCTTGGCCTGGCTTCTCCCTGGGCGAGGGAAAATGTGCACACTCCTGCTGTATTTATAGGTTTATTTATTCTGGTCCAGAGGAGTTAGAAGAGCATATTAAACAGTCTTCAGAACACCAACATATTTGGGAAAGGTCTTTATTGTCAGTTTAGAATGCAACATCTTAAGGTTACATGCGTTAAGTCACATACACAAAGTTTCTTTTTTTCTTTTTTGTTTTTGTTTTTTGTTTTCAAAAAATGCATTGACAAGGGTTCAGACTATTCATGAAATGCATCTACAGTCGCATGCAGGAGAGATCCTGGTTGTGCTCAGGCTCCTTAGGGACATGGTGCTAAGTACTGGGAAGTGATAGTAAAAATGCAGGGCGCAAAAAAGCTCTCTGGCCTCTGTCAGGGTTACATGGGAGTGGACTGCTTCTTCAGTCATTGCAGCATTGAAAAAACTCTTTTAAGTTAGCCCTGCAAGCAAGAAAACGAACACTGTTGAGGTAGCTCACTAACCTGCCTTCAACAGATAGCTACTGACAGACAGAGATTTTCACGGTCACTTAAAAAAAAAATCACACTGCAAGGCTCGAGTTAATCCAGACAAACTGCTTGAACAGGTACTCAGATGCCCTGACAGCAATTTCTGCTGAACGTGTTTAGTCAGCTAAAGGGAGGTCAAAGCAAAGGCCGCGTTCCTTCCTCCGGAGCCACAGGCCCAGATCGGGGAGCTGGGACAGGGGCCTGTGTGGACGGTGCTTGCCAAGGCGAGCTAGCCCCAAACTACTGAACACACCCCTGTCCTCGGAGGAATCTAAGTCCACCCCAGGGAAGGGGGTGCTGGCCTTCCGAGGAGAGACACGAGCTCTTTTCGGTTGGGCAGGTCAGAATCTCTTCTCGAGATAACTCGTGGTGCATGTCAGAAGCAAGGACATGCCCACCTGCGTCCACCAGGAGCCATCTCTCCTCCCCAGGATCAGCCGGCTTTTATTTTATTTATGAGACAGATTTATAACTTCATTAGCTGGCCGTTTCGTCTATAGAATGTATCGCTTTTAAAAGCGAATTAGGTCTTGCCTCGTGCAGGGAGCACATCAAAGGAAAACATTAGCATAAAAAGGACGGGAAGACAGAGCATCAGCGTTTCCTGGTCCAGGGGCTGTGGAATCTGACCCGCTCATTTACATCTGGGCTGGGTTTCTAATTAACATGCATGTATACCTTAATTAAGGTGCATATAATTTGTCAATTTAGTCATTTCGAAGCTGAGTAAACTCCAGGTGTCTATATACATATTCGTACATATGTATATATGGCGTTAGGTCAAGCCAGCTCCAGAGTTAGGTGGAGAAAAGGCACACTTGCTGGGAAGATGGAAGGGTGTTGGTGTCTCTCCCCCCGGCACACGTACAGTGCGCCTCGTCACAGCTAAATTAGGTCAGATGTGAAGAGCTGCCCAGAGCGAGCCCTGCTCAGCAATGGCTCTAATCAATTACGCTAATCCTGGGCTAATGTGATTCACCTGCAGCAGCTGTGGCTCGCCAAGGACCAACCACGTCCCTTCCCCGCTGACCCGGGACTTGGCTGGAGAAGCCGGGCCCTGGGACCCTGGCCTCGGAAGCTAATGGGCGTGAAAGCCGCATTTCAACTTTGCCCCTTTCGAGGTAAATTTCGCCAAACCAGGGCGACGGCAGGCGGCCTCTCTGTTCCTAAGGACAGCTGCCTTTGGCGAGGCAAAGAGCGGTGCTTACTGAGCTCCTCCCCACCCCCAAATTAT